AATAATAAATGAAACCGTGATCTCAGGTCCCATCATGAAAACAGCTAAAAGGAGACTTGGGATAGGGAGATATCAAATGTATGCAAAAAGAAACCAGACGGAGAAGTGATATATAATAAGAATGAAATCACAAGTGTAGTGTAAGAATTTTACATTACAACTCAAATGAACAGCCACGGATAGAAGCGAACGCGGTAACTAGAGACGTAACTAACATCACAGCAGAAAAATAAAAAGAGCGTTTGAAGAGAGGGAAAGCACCAGGTGAAGACAGAATTAATGTAGAGCTTATAATAGATGCAGGAGAAATTGCAACAGTGGAACTAGCCATTTTTTTTAACAAATAACTTCTCAATGGAAAAACTCAGCAAGTCTGGAAAATGTAACAATTATTTTGATACAGAAAAAAGGGGATAGAAAGGATTTAAAAAAAGGAAAAACGACCCATTAGCCTCCTTTCAGTGACTTACAAACTGTTCACAAAAGTCATCACAACTCGCATCTCTGACAGTCTGGATTCTCAACAACAGACCACATCTACACACTCACCCAAATAAGAGAAAAATAAATGAATATAGAAAACCCCTGTGTATGACATTCATCGATTACGAAAAAACATTTGACTCTGTACATCTACCAGCAGTGCTGAAAGCTATTCAAAGACAGGGAGTAGAGGAGGTATATCGTAAAATATTGAAAAATATATACGAAGAAGGGACAACAACCATCACAGGACGATACCATCTCACCAAAACTGTTTATTGCTTGCATTGAGGAAATATTCAATAAGCTAGAAGGTATCGGAAAGGGTATCAAAATAGAAGGCGAATACCTAAACAATATAAGATTTGCAGATGATATTGTTCTCTCTAGTGAATCTGCAAATTAAGTACAGCAACTAATAAACGATCTGAATAGAGAGAGTCTGAAAGTCGGACTTAGGATGAACAAAAAAACAAAAACAAACTAAGATCAAGTACAACAGTAGATTTCAATTCGAACCTCTAGCGGAACACTAGAGGTAGTGGTCAAGTATATATGCCTAGGCAAACTCGTATGGTCAAACACATCTAGCGAAGAGGAAATTAAGCGCCGCATCAGTCTAGGCTGGAGCGCCTTCGACAGACACAGTAACATACAAAGAGGCTCCTTTCCACTGTGTTTGAAAAGAAAAGTCTTTAACCAATGCATCCTCCCAGTTATTAACTATGGATTTGAAACACGAACTACAACCAAGTTACTGGAGAGGAAACTAAGAATTACCCAGAGAGGGATGGAGAGGTTGCTGCTGGGAATTAGCCTAATAGATCGGATGAGGGCGACGTAGATCAGGGAGCAGACAAAAGTGGAAGATATACTCAGGAACATAAAAAAAAAAATGGCAATGGGCAGGTCATATGTGTCGGAGACAGGACGACAAATGGACAAAGATAGTAACAGACTGGGCTATAGATAACATAAAGAGACCAAGGGCCAGATCAATGACAAGATGGCGTGACAAAATAACGAAATTTGGGGGCCAAGACTGGAAACAAAACGCAAAACAGACTAAATTGGAAAAGATTGGGAGGACCCTACGTCCTTCGGTGAATTGATTCAGGCTGATGATGATGATAATGATATATACATATATATTATTTATTATAAACATCATATATATATATATATATATATATAGATGTGTATATATATGTAGTTATACACATGTATATATACTCACAAATATATATATATATACATATATATATATATATATATATATATATATATATATATATACATATATATATAAATATACATATTTACATATATATATATATATACATATATATACAAATATGTATGTATGTATGTGTATATATACGCTTATGGGTGCATGTGTATATATATGTGTGTGTGTGTGTGTGTGTGTGTGTGTGTGTGTGTGTGTGTGTGTATGTGTGTGTGTGTGTGTGTGTGTGTGTGTGTGTGTGTGTGTGTGTGTGTGTGTGTGTGTGTGTGTATGTATATACATGTCTATCTATCTATCTATCCATATATATATGTATTCATATTTATATACTGTATATATATATATATATATATATATATATATATATATATATATATGTATATATATATATTCATATATATATTCATATATAATACTGATAGTTGTGCAATACTGTTGCCAGGTTCAGGATTACAAATAAGGTCGATTTTGGACCAACTGGTGTCTTAAAAATCTTATATTAAAACGCGTAATGGGAGAAGCCTGAAGCCGACTGCCAAGGTCACAAACACACACACGCACTCACGTACATACACACACAAATGTAATGCCTTAAGTCCCCTACAATATCCATATATTTTCATCTGGGGGAGGGCATTCCTTTCATTAATAAAAAAATGCAACAGAGTTTAATCAGTTCATAATTATTTACTGACAGAAGTGTAGTTCCTCAAATTATATAATGGTAATATTTTCTTGCTTACCTAGAGGGAATAAAAAGGACATATA